GCTATCGATTAGCAATGCATAACACTGAGATCCAGGGGACTTGGCTTCAGTTGTATGTTCTGCTGTTATAAAGAGGTGATGTGAAAGAAGTTGCTTCTTAACGTTTTCTATTCTGACTTGGACAAAAGCTTTTCTAGCCCAGTACAATTTCTCCAGCATTGTTCAGGAGGAAATACTTAGGAAACAGTAAAGGACCAGGCTTGTCTTCAGTGAACTTTGTGATACACCTTCGTAGGTACTTTCTGTCAGCAAGGTAGTGTTAATCTGAGCTGAACATCAGATCCAGACTGCTATGTTTGATAGCAACCCATAAATTAATCCTTCATGAGGATCTAAGTGTAGTCTATCTGACTTTACTGCTCAATGTCTTTGTTTCCTCTTCTGGAGACATTAAGATACTGAAATTATTTGGAAAGGATTCTAATCTCTAATGAAAAAAAAAAAAGAAAAAGAAAACATACAATTCCTATTTATATTTACATGAAAACAATATTAATTTTTAAAAAAACAAATATTGCTGTTTATGAAAAACTTTCTCCTGCTTATTACGAAAAGTAGGATAAGAGAGGATAAATCAAGATGACAGAGAGAAAATAGAGCATAAGCAGATGATTTCTTCTTTGCTAAGTTGTTCTCCTAAAAGCTGATAGAAAATGCAAGCATTTACAAAAGGATGAAATGTGAAGACGGGGATAGTCTCCCAAAGATCAGTATGGAAGTATTTGTTGGGCACAAATGGATTGGTTTATGAAAGTCAAAGTTTTGACAAAGTTGAGACTTTTGAGACACATAAAATGTAACGAGATAAGTTTTCACAGGTACACTGGCAACTAAATGAATACTAAGAAAAATGTGGGGCTGTTGCTGAAAGCAGTGAGTGGCCTAATGATGAGGAACATGGAAAAGACTAACACACTTAAGATTTTCTCTATCCCTGTCTTTATGGTCAAGGTATGTTCTTACGCCTCCCAGGTCTTTATGCCTCACAGCAAAGCGTGAGAAAGCAATATTCTACCCTTAATAGAGGCAGATCGACAAGTGACAAGTTGATTAATCTGGTGTACGCAATTTGATATGGGAGGATAGGATGCATTTGAGCATGTTGAGGGAGCATGTCACCTTAAGACCATTTTGTCATCTCTAAAAATCATGTGAGATGCTTGATAATTGATAAAAAGTAAATGTCACATCTGTTTAGGAGCAGCATAATCATTGGGAGATTTTCTTCAACAACAGGTAGACATATATATAATCATGAGGATTAGTATTGGATTTTTTTCTATATTTGATTATAATGGAAAAAGGAAAAAGTTATGCTGCCTTCTTTCAACTGTTAGAAAAGTTTTATCTTGTTTCTATCCAGACTTGATACTTATTCCCAAGTATAACTTCTCTCCCAAGAAGAATGGTGATTTGGTTTCAAAAGATTTCTTATCACACTTTTCAGTTAAGTCTTAGTCATAATACACAAGAGGGTATTAGAGACTGATGTCAAGCTGCAAAGCGCTGTAAGCATGACAAATCTTCACTTTAATTCTCAGAATTGATTTCCTTTTGAGGAGGTGTGATTTTCTTCTGTCTCTTCCCTTTGGCATTTCCTGGCTTGGGAATGTTTCATATTTTCCCCCTATTGAGCAGCAAATGGCATCTAGTACTATTCCTGAATAGTTTTTTTAAAAGCTACTTTTACAGCAAGAAAAAATTACAGAAGATATTAGTGGGCCAGCTGCACAGATACACTGTTGCTTTTTTTATAAGAGAACCAGACAAAATATAAAAATAAAACCATTGAAAAATCTGTAAAACCTTTGGACCTGTTTCCATCTATCACTGAATATTCACAAAACCCAGGTAAACTTGAATTTTGATTCCGCTTACTGTAGAGATACACGTAAACTGTGAAATCTGGAGTAGGACTTGAACTAAAAAATTAACAAAGAGATTTAATTACATCTTAGTCCTTTGTTTTGTGTATGTAATATGCAGACATTGTTGCAAGGCTTATAGTATGTTTATTGGAAACAGCATTCTTTTCCTTAGTACACATCAATATATTGGGGTTCTTGGTCGACTGAGGGGAAACAACCCACTTTTTTTTTAAATCCAAGAAAATACTTGTTTATGTTTGTCCTTGGAGTCCTTGACTCTGTAATGGGTAACCATGTCAAAGGGAAAAAGCTAAGAATTGAAAGTCAACATCAAAAAATAAGAGTGGATATGACTGAGTTAACAAAAGAAAACTGAGGGAATGTCCCCAATCCAGTTTGCTTAGAATAATTAATATCTCTGAAAATGGTTCACTGCAAACGTAATAATAAAGTATTTTAGCTGTTTAGGCTAATACATCAGCAGCAATAACATGTCATAATAAAAAAATTGCAGAAGCAAATCCATTCATATCCTTAAAGTCTTATTTATGCCCAGGCATGAACCCGAATGCATAGGTAAATGAGTCAAGAATGGCAGTGCCTAAAAGCTGAGCACTTTGTCCTTTTGCAATTATTCACGGTGTGTAAAATTAGGAACCCAGAGTCTCCTGGCAGCCAAAGAAAGTCGTTAAGTATTCCTGGGGAGTGATCCTGAGTGTCCTCATGCTGCAGAAAATCACTGAGAGTAACTGAAACAGAGATATGTGGCCTAATTTCTGCTTGGTTTGCCATAAATGGCTACAAATGAATGTACCAAAATCTGAGTGCTTCCTAGAGGTGGATCGTCTCACTAAGTAGAGCTCATTCTTTGTGAAAGTCTATGTAGAATAATCATACAGTGTCACAGGAGTTGATTTATGAAATCTCTAACTCAGGAAGACAGGTCATCTGGGCTGGGATTTAAGTTCCATACCAAGAAGTTTACTTTTAGGTGTCTTCATGGGAGCTAGAGGCTCCATTTAGTTGTACAAATATTCAGCTCACTTTAAACCCAAAAATAGATAAACAAAAAGTAGATAACTAAATAACTAAATACATAAAAAGCAATTCGTAGTCCATTAATTGTATTTACTATCTTATTATAAAAAAGGGAGCTTAGATAACAGCCTGCAGCTACACATAGCTAAATCCACAAGCCCTAATCCACAAGTTTAACTCCACATAAGATTTCCATTGTCTGCTCAGGTTGAAGGGATCCTGGCCTTGTTCGGCTCCTCCTACAAAGGAGACTGCTTTACTAATCATGTTGCAGAGCAGTTCAAGGTGATTGATGCAAAGAGGAGAAAACCAGGGGCACGGGGGTTGTGGAAGGATCCTTGTTCTGACAGGAAAGACTGGGGTCTGAGGACAAGTAAGGGACAGGGAGCATGTCTCTGTATTTAGTCATTAAGACTCTCTGCCTATAACTTGGAGACCTTGGGTATGGTATCCAGTTTGGTATTGTGTGGTTTATTAATCCAGTGGCTATCTAATGCAGATGGAAAGCAGAGACCTGGGAACAGAGACAGATCTCTATTCACTGTCTCGCCTGAACCACCATAGCGTAGAATCCTTTCTTTTTGGCGTCTTTGCTGTTTCTACCCACCGCTGCCCTACTTCTTACACATCCAGTTTCAAGAGGACGGGATAAAATATGGCCTGATTCACTCTATGCTGTAGCTCGGTAGTTAATAAACTCTCCTGGGATGCCAGTGGTGGTAGTTTAGAGATTTTGAAATTCTAAGTAAGTCTCAAATCAGAATCCTACCCTTAAATTGCCTATTAGCCTGCTATTTTGGAGCTTAGTCTATGAACTTTTTCCTGTAGCAGGTGAAATATTTTGAATGATATATAAGAAAGCCCTTGGGTAAAAGATACATCATGAATAAATGATAATGGTCAACACGAAAGTCTATTCACAAGAAGTATTATCAATCAACATGAGTGACTACTGAGAGAGATTTAAGGCTGAGACTTTTAAAAGAGCATAAGCAATCCATTTCCCTTCAATTTTCAGCAAGAACTGAGGATATATATATAACCTCGACTGTTTTAAAAATCCTAGCCTAAATTCTCAACAGAGTGAAAAATACAGGACTTGATATTGCATCTTGCTGCTCGTAGAAATGGTCCAATGTTGATATGTGTATTCCTTGCTTTATCAGACCTTCCTGCATCTTAATATCTCTGGAGAACTGATTCTGTCAGGGGGATTCTGATCCTGAACGACTGTTGCCATGGTATTAGGTTATTCTGGGCTGTGATCAAGAAGAGCAAACAAACTTGAAAAAGAAACAGGCTTTAAACCTCATTCTCAAGCCACAGCGTCTAAGACTAGTTTTCAAAAACTGAATCTTGATTTTTGTACAATGTGGTAACTGTTTAATACTTCTAAAGAACACATACCAATAACCAGAATTGTTAACTGTGACAGTAAATACATACATAAATAGCGGAAAATGCAGGAAGATAAATTTGGCAAATTATCATACTATTTGCAATTATTCATTTTCATTTAATGGTATTATCCCACATTGATCTGAAACCCTCAGCTTCTCTGAGAGCATTTAAAATAGCAGAATTTTTCTACATTTTATTCCTGTTTTACTGGGCACTATTCCAAAACTGGTGGGAGTCAATGAATGTCTTTTTGATACTGCAGAGCCTTTGAATTGAGTGCATAATAAGGAGTTTGTACCTGTCTCCCATCCCTAGACAGTAATATAGCTCTTCTGTTAGTATTCATTCAATCACAAGTCATCTACATGTAACAAAAGTGCTGCAGAAGGTTCTAGAAATACATGAGAAAATACTTTCTGTGTGCAGACACTGGCGTAATAAGTTCGTATTTCTAGAGAACAGAGTTCCCTTGATGGTAAAACAAAAAAGAAGGTCTTAGGAGCAATCCTGGTGATGTAGCATCTGAGATGATGACCCCAGAAGAACGTGCAAGTTTCAGCAACTAATATTTAAAAGAGTAAAACAAGCAATGTGAAATTATGTAGGGAAGGGAGGAAGTTTTCAGCAAGTTTTTTATTTACAGATGGATAATTTCGTTTGCCAAATTAGTAACACATTCTTCTTATTCCACAGGTAGAATTCACAGCCATGAGGGACCAATACATGCGAGGAGGAGAAGGCTTCATTATCTGCTATTCCATCACAGACCGCCAATCCTTTCAAGAAGCTACTGAGTTTAAGGAACTCATTTATCGTGTTCGGCACACCTATGACATCCCCTTGGTGCTGGTGGGAAACAAAATAGATCTTGAAGAGTTCAGACAAGTAAGCAACTTCTCAGCTGGTTTTGGCTTGATTTTCCTTGGCTACCTCAGGGATGTCTGTAACATATGTTGTACAGTACTACTGAGAATTATTGGCACAAGACAAGGTTTAATCAAAGAGCAACACAGTAGAATTGGTAATAAATTTAAGCTTTGACAGTACTTTTCATTTGTATGTTATGGATCTTAAAGTAGTCTTGGCCAATCACATACAAATGTTCTTCATTTTTACTTGAAAGGAATCCCACTATTTTCATTGGAAGTTACATATATGTTCAACATGGAAATAGATTCAGTCAATGTCTTTGTGGCAAAAAAAAACCACCTTTCTTTCAAAGTTACCAACCATTAAATAGTTTTTTTTTCATAAATGTACTAGATTTAATTAAAGATTCCTCAAATTCAGACTGAAAAAAAATCTACTTAAAATAGATAAATGCATTTAAGATTATCTTTGCCTGAAAAGACAGTGGCTGTGTTAGGGTATTCAGGTAAGAAGGGAACATGAAACACTTGAATATGCTTTGATTTGTATACAAGACTTGAGCCACCACCGCCCACAGAGCAGTAGATTATTTTAAGTAAGAGTATTGACTGTGTTTCAAAGTTTTCAGCAATCTTTGCTCGCTCTTTTCCTTTTGCTTTCTCTCCTCTTCCTCCTTGCTGTTTGTGTTGAGGGGTGTGTGTGCGCAAGGAGTGAATTAGAGGGAGACTGTCTTAGAAATGGCTTGGTTATGACCTGGTACCGAATGGAAAACATCCTTAATCCTAAGCAGGAACTTCAAAATGGGGTAAAGAAAAAAGATTTTCCGAGATGGAAATCGTAAGAGTCTCTTTATGCACACTACAATTGCTTGCAAATGACTGACTTCTGCGCAGACATACGAAACACTTTAATAAAATGGTGTTTTTCAGTTCATTAGCATCTGTGCTCACATGATCCTGTCTGATCTTTTCCACTTATCCTGTCACTCTTCTCCCCATTTCTTTGTCTTCTTTCTTCTACCTGAAAAAAATTCAAGGTAGTGTTAAGCCTGAAATTAGTCCTGAAGATCTAATGACGTACATCTAAAACTTCACAGCTGTTTCCAGATCATTGACTTTCTCCCTAAACTAGGCTGTGACAAAACCTTAATGGTGACAATCCAGTTGCAGTTTAACACACAGCTTGAGACATCAAACAACAGCACCATGTGCAACATGGAGTGCAATCTGTGTAGCTTCTGGTGTATTTATATACCAGATGGGGGAGGGATGTGGATTCAGTTGTTCTGCTGAGACAACAGGACATTGTACCTGGTCCCAACAGAAATGGGATATGGTTGATTACCTACAGTCACCTGTAGATGAAGTTTTCAGGAGTACTCTATTCACTAAGTGATATGAGGGCTCTCTTTCAGTGATATTTGGCACTAGCTCTTTCTGATCTTGTTTTCTGTTAGGCATTTGTATTTTAATCACACTAATACATATAAAAAAAATGCCCGATTTACATGTTTTACATGCTCCTTGATGATCTTGTCTGGTCTTCCAAACAGGAAAATTAGTGTGCATGAATGTCTGAATTGGATATCACAAACAGCATTCAGGATTAAAGGGCATGAGAAGGGTCTTGGAAATTATATTAGAAGTTATGTCTTTGAGATGTGGCAGACATAAATAATTGCTATACAAGGTTGTCACTGAGGATCCTGCCTAAACGTGTATCAAAACAATTCCAAATTGTTTTTCTATTTTTTCATTTTGAAAGCTTTCAATAAGCCAGGATTTAGATCTTCAGAATCTGTTCCTCCATAACCCTTCTACAACTGTCAGCAAACACAGCGAAGTCAGAAGGGTTTTCTTAAATATTGTGCATTCCAGATTTTGAGCCATGGGACACCCTTACATCAAAGACTAGTAAGACAATATAATACAGATCAACTTGCTTGAATAAAACACTTAAATATGACTGTATCTACATAAGCAAGTAGTTGGAACCAACAAGAATAGAGCTGTACAATAAAACAGTCTATTCTGAGGTCCACATTTCGGGAATTTATTTTTAACCTTGGACTAGCTCTACTCCGGGGCCATTGTCTGCATGATTAGCTGGTGCTGATGTGTATGAGTTGTGCTTCTGGAGCATATCTTCCCTTAAATTTCATCTCTAGTTCAGGTCATGTTCTCAAAGACCACTCCACAATTCAAAGCAAAGCATGGTTGAGTGCAAGTGATTAGGACGCACTGCTCAGAGTGCCTCTCAGACCTAAACTAAAGCACAAGTGTGGGGGAGGTCATGTCTGTGGCCAGCTTTAAGTGCATGTTAATGAGCTTCAGCAGCTCGTTATTTTGGAACTGGGACGTAAGGTTGTGCTGTATGTTTAACAAACACTGAAATAAGTTATATCTGTGCTTACCTGTTAGCTTAAGCAGTACCTAAGTAACTTGACGGACTGTGGGAACATAGATAGAAAGGAATTTTTTCAAGGTCATATATTGTAGTTACAGCTTCATTAAAAAGTGTTTGTATGCTCAAGAGAAGTAGCCAGCTAACTCTGAGGTGACAGCAACAAACTGACAATGTACAGCGTTAACATATTGATGTACAAAGAATCGGGTACATAAAACCACATCAAATTCAAATGACTGAGAAATAGCAAGTATTAGAACACAGGTAGCTGGATTAGAATTTAGACAGGGCACCAGGGCTAATATTGTCGCTTCGTTTGACAACATTTTTCTCCTATCAAATTCATTAAAGCTACTGTAATGTTATTCATCGTATTTGGAAACATAACATTAAGTTCAACATTCCTGGGCATCATTTCCATTTAATGACAACTCTGCAATGATCAGACAGGCTGTAGTAGCTTGGTGATACAAAGCTCTTGTTTGAAATGTGATCCTCTGCACCATACAATTAATGATGTATATATGTCATTTGCCTCAAATCTATCAGCAGGACTACAACAAAAAAACTAATCTGCAATTAAAATTTTGTGTTAGGAGAAACACTACTGAAAACCAAACACAACAAGCTTATCATTTTTAAATAACGTTTTTATTTTCTGATTATTTCAGAGACATTATTGTTGTCTTTAATTATGCCTGTCGTTTTTAACAGCTTAAGAAACAGATTTGTCTGTACTTCTTCTTAAAGCAAGTTTTGATTACCTTCATCACTCTAAAGAATGAACACTTTTAATTTTCTCTGAAACAATGTGGGGGAATAAAGGTGTAAAAACTGTAGGGAAAAATATAATAACTCACGATATTGATGTCCATATCCATTCTGGTAGCAAGGCTCTCTCCATCCTCCATTCCCTTCACCGACTGGTACTGGAGCTGTGTTCAGTCCTTTCAGACCTTGTTTTGTTTTGTATTCGGAGATTCACTGGGAAAGTGAATGGACATGAATGGCTAAGACATTCGTCTGTGTTCATTCCTTGATTCCTAACCAATGCTCTAAGAAATATTGAAGTATTATATGTATTTTATCCCATAGATTGCTGAAATAAAAAATAGATCTCTAAGTGCTTGATTAGATACCATTTTAATTTCAGTGCTTTCTAACATTAAAGTCATTCGATAAATAAGGATAAGCTGATACATATTTTAGTGTCTTTAGAGTTTCAAAAACATTTAAGATCAGCTGATATGTAGTACAACAGATACTTTTACTTCAGGTGAGCTTTGTCACTTTACCTTAGATGAACAACTGATTCTTACTGAAGCTTAAAATCCGTATAACAGATAAACATGTAAGTAAAACATATTCATCTTTAAAAAATGCAGTAAACTCATCCTATTTGAGCTCATGCCATGCAAATTTCAGCTTTAATTAAAAATTTAGCTTTTAAAGCTAAATTTCAGCTTTAATTAAAATATTTTAAAATAAAAAAAAGTTTGTTTGAAAAAAATTTGGACAAGACTTTGCCTTCTGACCATCGCAATATATTACATTCAGCAATTCAGAGGGGAACCAACTATATAAGCTCCCCTGAACAATGTGCTGTAGCTCTGAACTGGAAAGAATAGATACTTTCTAGCAGCTTTTTCAAGCTTAATATGGATGTGAGAACCCCTCTGGAAATTCTACCGATATAGAAATTGCATAGCCTTCATGGAGAAGTTTTTCCTATACAGTTTTGTTTGACCACAAAGGAATACACTGTGGGCTCAGCTGAGTCCATGGATAACATGTTGATGTCCATTGAGTCAAAGGTTATGAGGGCAGCTCACGCTTCATTCAACTTTTGGCCTCTCTGGGAAGCCTGTCATCAAAGTTGTTAGTTTTGCCAGTACAGTTTTGGTCTTGGAAAGAACTGTGCACATGTTTATCCTTCCACACATGAGTTGCCTTGTTGGTTTCAAACATAGATCTGAGTAGGAACAGTGTTTTTGAAAGCATTTTCTTCCTTCTCTTTCTCCCTACAGCCTGCCTCCTTCATCAGGAAATGCGAAATCAACATGAAATCTGTCTTGAACGTGAAACAGCATCTTGCTTGGCAAGCAAATTAATTACAGGGGCTTCACTGTATTTTCTTTCTAAGGTTTTCATAGATTTCATAGATTTCTAGGTTGGAAAAGACCTTAGAGATCATCCAGTCCAACCATCCCTAATCCCCATTAAACCATATCCCTAAGTAGTTCGTCCACCCTTTTCTTAAACACATCCAGGGATGGGGACTCAACCACCTCCCTGGGCAGCCTGTTCCAGTGGCTGACAACCCTTTCAGGGAAGAAATACTTCCTAACATCCAACCTGAATCTCCCCTGACTAAGCTTATACCCATTTCCTCTTGTCCTATCACCCATCACTAATGTAAAGAGCCCTTCCCCTACCTCCCCACCATCCCTTCTCAAGTATTTGTAGGCTGTAATCAGGTCTCCCCTCAGCCTCCTCTTCTCCAGGCTAAACAGCCCCAACTCCCTCAGCC